ACAAATGAAAGATTTCTACAGAAAAAAATAGGTAAGTCATGCTAAATTATGTCAAATAGATTAAGCCTTATATCATGTTATACTGTTAACCCCTCATCAAAAACATATCTGGAGTGCTGCTTTGAATCATTTCTGCATGTCTGAGAATTCCCTTAAATGTCCCATGGCAGCCATTCTGGGGTGCCTAAAGTTTTGCTTACAATGCGTCTCCTATTTACGCAAAGCTCTTTCTTAGAGCTACAATCTCCAACGACCTCATAGAGCACTTCTCCCCCACACCTACACCATGCTGCTCCTCTAGGCTAGCAGTGGCAGCAATGAATAAATACCTGGTGGAACTGTGCATCTGCTGAGCTCATCATACAAACTATTCCTCAGACCATTGCGTCTAAGAACAGTTTAAAACAGCATCGTGGAGAAGCACTGTTGTCATGACAGGCTGAATGAGGAATATGTGAAAGTGTAGGAGATTCTTAAAGAGACAGAGGCCAATTTCAAGAAGGCAAACTACTATGTTCTGATTCAGAATTTTAGTCTGCCTGTAGTTTAGCAGTAGCAGTAGTGAAAGTGAATAAAGCTATCCAATCCAGGTTGGCCATGTTTCTAAATATCAATTTAATGTTAAAAGCCACCTGGTTCGGCTGGTACGCCGAACCAGGTGGCTCGGCATATAATGTGTATATCACATTATTCTTGATATACACAACAACTTACTTGACTTTAATAAATGGCACCATGCACCTGGAAAATAACCCCTCTCTCCTCCCACAAACATTTTAAACCAAAAGTGTCGCATTAAATTATTTTATTTAAAATTGAAAAGCAACCATTACTACACTGCTATGTCTAAAATAATATACACTGATTTTTACAGTAATAACGTCTGTGACATTTGTTATTTTGAATTTGAACACTTATGGAGAGCAACAGGACATGTCAGTGTTCAAAGTAAATGTTGAAACTCGGTCACCCTCTTCATGTACTCATGATGAGAGCCAGGCAGCATAGTTTTAGATTCAGAAAAACTACAAGTATCTCAAAATTACATATGGCGGCATATTTTGTTTGCACAACAATTTTTACATACTTACACATGTCATTTTCTCTTATTTGTAACCCATGAAAATATTGCACAAAAATGTGTTTTAAAAATGTATCAATTTCACGATTGTTGCTTGCTGCTGTGAATTATGCTTATCGTTAAATCCAACAATGCAAGAGGACATCCTAAAAGAAGTTGCTAAACTACAATGTTTGAAAAATGCATGTATTATTTTTTTTCTTTGATAATGCCAACTGAAATGTCTTTTTGGCAAAGGCACTAAAACAGCATGCAGTTCAGAGCAACAAGCTAGGCCCCTCCTGAACAGTGGGCCATGCTCCAGTCAACTGTATTTTATTTTAAGGGTTTCATGAGTGAAACAAACTTATTTTGCATAAACCCTGATATTAAAATTAAACAACGTGGTCGCAACTCCTAATATTTATTGTGCTCTAAACTATATGAAAACCAAAACGTGTTTGAAGTAAAAGCTAAACAAAGCCACAAGATAAAAGTGACATGTACTCTGCTAATGTTAGCCGGTTAGCTAAGACTAGCACAGCTGATTAAAAGGAAACAAGAAAAAAACTACCTTGCGACATAATGTTGACAACACAATCACTGTGTCGCACTCAACTGTTCCATGTCCAACAAGCAAGGCATCATGTTAGTGTGTAGATAAGCTGTTCATACCTTTGCCTTTTCCAGTGGAGTGAATTTCAAGACGTGCACAAAAGGGTTTCTGAACGGAGGAGGTTGGTCCATTTTCTTCCCATCTCCTTCAGTCGCACAATGTTTGCTACCCGACAACCTCATACTTAGAAAGACCGTAAGGTGAGGCTGCAGTTGGTACTTTTGATGTCCTAAAAAGAAAACTGCCAAAAAATAGAAGAAGCCCCTCAAAGCAAAACGCGGTCTCCCCTTTAACTGGCTTGGTCGGTTGCTAATTTAGATGGAGGCAGTGCCAAGCTATTAACGTTATCTCCCTTTCCTGGTCAGCATGGAGGGATAATTGTTAGCTCAAGGATTAACTGGGGATATCTGAAGTCACCAATATCTGTCTGGCTGCGCAGGTCTCCTTCCTGCACAGCCTCTTCCCCAACCAGACCTGCCCGTTAGCTCTCAAAGCTAACGGAAGCGCAATACCTTTCTTACAGCAGGGCGCCTGCGCGCGTCCACAACGGTATTTGCCAAGCACGACCCAATGTTGCCTTCAAAATCCCCTCACATGTCGTAATTTAAAACTTTAACGGAAAACTGTAATGAATACAGCAAAAATGAAATATATAAAATACAAAGATATAATTTGTAGTTAGAGGGTTATATAAAGTTCAGACCGTACTCATCGTAATAATAAGTAATGTCAGTAACCCCTGTGTTCAAATAGTAGGATTATGTAATCCTATCTTCCTTTAACTGTCTTATTAGTGCTGATGCAATTGGCAAATAAATCTCTAACAAGGTGTAACTATTAAATAATAACATTATGATTTTTTTAGGATTTTTTTTTATTGTGGTCAATTATGGGATTCAGTAATTTTGTCACTTAATCCCATTATGCACTTTTGTTCCTTTCTAACTTTCGCATTTTATGGTAAATTTCTACTGGATGAACTCTTGTGTTGTTGGGAGTAAACTGAGGTTGGTAATTTACGGTAGTCTATGGTCAAAGTAGATAATTTGACTGAGAATGCCTTTAAAAATTCCTGATAGTTGTAGGCTATAGCAACAATCAGTGTTCAAATATTAAAACACATATGTCTGTTAGCTTTAATCTCTGCATGTTTTTAGTTTATTTATGTGGAATATTAGACTGATTATTTCTACCAGAAGTGTGATGCTATTCAGCAGTGACGGCACCGTGGATTGACTTCGGTGTTGTAAAAGTAGTTATGTGCTGCCCTCTTGTGGCAAAATCTTTGTAATATTCTGTAATATTCGGAGAAAACTCAAAATTTCAAGGGCCCTCTCAGTTGCTATACAAAACGGTAATGTTGTTTTCATTTGCACGCCTTGAAATATTTTTTTACAATGTTATATTGTAAAATGTAAAAAAAAAAAAAAGAAAAAAACCTAACGTGGTAATTAACTTGCATTTCCTTTACCATTAAGGATTTATTTATGGATGCAATACATATGGATTGTGCTCTGCCTTGCAAGTATTTATTTACAATTTCCACATTTTTACCACTTTACAAGTAAAAATGAGAATATGTTTTTAGGGGTCTTTCAAATGATAGACCACCTCAGAGCATTCAAAACAGTGGATGGAAAAGCATACATTATGTTAGAAATGTTTTCTTTTTAACAGTGAATTTTCTACATAGCTTTTTTAATTGTAATACATTTAAAACATGTGTCATGATGTAGTGCTAACATGACAGAATATGGGGGGGGGGGAATACTATTGAAACCATTGATGTTAAATATTCAGAAAGATTCTACAAAAATATATTATTTTGTTCCAAGTACATGACCTTATGTTCATCACTGTTTTATGTTCATCTTTACTAATCTCAAATTATGCTTGACAACAGCAGCTGGAACCAACATTTAACAAGTTTCTTTCTGATGTAAAAACACACGGTATAGATACAAATTATGTCAGAGAAAGACGCTCAATAAGAGTCATAAAGTCTCGATCATTTCTTTCTAACTTACATTTTCATCAGACCCTTTGAAAATATAAAACAGGGTCTTAAGAAATTGGTACTTTTAACTAGAGACAATGTGAATTAAGATTAATGGAATATAGTGTAACATATGTTATACTATATTGCATTAATCTTAATTAATGCAAACCAAAATTAAGTGATAAAGGAGTGGTACCGTGTATGTTCCAGGTACATAGTGTCATTTTGAAACACAATCTAGCAACTGCGTTAAAATGCTGTATATATGGATCATGATTTAAATAAAAAGAAATTTGACTTTGTAATTTGATATCTTGATATTGGGCTTCCGTTTTTTTTTTTTTGTTTGTTTTATTTTTAGAAGCTCCTGCTCTTTCTGACACTGAACTCAGCACCTCATGTTTACAATGATTATTTTCAGAACTGGACTGAGAAGTAATTTGTGTAAGTTTAGCAGACATGCACTTCCACCATGTGTTTGCTGCTGCTAGTCTGAAGGAGCTGAGTGGGGAAGGTGTGGAGGGACAAGGTGCTCTGTGAGGCAGAAGCTCGGCTGGAGACGGCACCTCCAAGAAGAGGCTCTGTGGAAAGAGTGGTTTTGTTGAGAGCGAACGTTCAGGGATCCCCAAATAGCTGCTGCAGGACATTCAAGGATTCCTCAAACATGCACGAAAGAATCAAAGCAACATTCAAGGCATTTTTAACTCAAAAAAGTAGAATTTTTATAACACCCCTTCCTTTAAGAATAAACCAAGTATTAAACTCTGCTGATGTTAAGCTGAATTGCATGTGCACAGCAGTTTTGAAAGTTTTCCTTTTATGAGCCCATTGATCGAAGGGCATGTTTGTCCACGTATGTGCTCAAGCATAGTAGGAAAAATTGCTTTGCGTGATGGAGGCAACATTTCATCTATGACACAGAATCTCCCCCTTGTTCTTTTGTGCAATCATGTTTCTGCTTATGCTTTTTCTAAGAATGTCAAGGACAGGCAGTTGAACGCACACATCTGTGAAAACATCCACACACACACACACACACAAACCAAATGGACCACTCTACTTCATATTTTAATTCTGGCGTGCAACAATATGTAGCCAAAGTGCCCCGTGGGCTGACCATATCAGGTCGTGACATTTGCATTTGACAACAATGATACCAGACAGGGTTAATGCTGGAGAAAATGGAGAGACAGAGAGAAACGGGGGAAAAAAAAGGAAAAAAGGTCCCCTCCCACCCCACCCTCCCTCATTTCTCCCACTCTACTTTCACGTTCCCTTTCCCTTCTTCAGTCCCATAGCTGAGGTGCTTAAATTAAAAAGGAAGAAATGCAATTTAAAGACATGGGGTAAACAATCACAAAACACTTGTTTCTAGAGGAGAGACAATTTCCTGGTGCCTTGTCCAATTTCTTATGGCCTGGAGGGCTGCTGCATGGGTTTTAACACCTGGTTCTACACCACTGATTAAAATTGTAATGCTGCTGTTGAATCAATCCATATGACATTTTGGAAAATACACAACTATATATATATATACATATATATATAGCATTTTCCCCCCCTGTTGTTTTCATTTGGAAATCGAAAGTGCCACTACTATGCCTTCCAACTATTTTAAGGGGTAAAGTAAAGCTTAAACGTCTCAAAACGTATAAATACGCCGTAGTTATTGTACATTCTGTTAACTCATAAGCAAGAAGAAAGGTTATGCAATGTGCAATAAACATCTACCTCAAACAAACAAACAAAAAAAGAGTCTAAAGGTATGATCACTTCAAATTAGATAATTCTGAGCGTTAAAGTACAATCTCAGTCAGTCTCTTAATACTTCTTGAAGGGTTTTTTTTTTTGTCAGATGAGAGGTTTGAAGTGCAACCTTGCCTTGTTGAAAGACCAAGACATTGTCTCATAGACAAAGAGCTTCATTCAAGGCTCACTGAAACATTTCTACCTCGTCTGCTTCGTTAACCCTGAAGAACCTGAAGCTCCGAGGTTATGATGGAATCTCCGTCACTGTATGGAAGACAATTTGACTAGACTCTGGTTGTCATACTAATCTTGTAAGCCATCAGAACCATGCAGATTTATTTTCTTGTTGCAGAATAACATTTTCTTCCACCTCTCAATGTGCCATGCTTGGTCCACTTTCTCACCATGTAGGGTTTTGGGGTTGTAAATCCTTGCCACGAAATCACGTGAAGCCATATTTCTTTCCGGTTTTGAACATTTTATAGTTGTTGATTAGCTGAAAAACAGCCTGCCTGAATTTAAATTAGTGCTGTCAATCAATTAAAACAATCAAATTTGAATCCATGCTCTAGCGCTAATCACAATTTAATCTACGCCTAAGTCTGAAATGCACGTTATCAAAAAAAAAAAAAAAAAAAGTTTTAAAAAAGTGTTTCATTGTCTCAAACCAAACATGCTTGAAGATTCTCAGTTTTCCAGGTTTCCATACTTATTCATGAAGGTTTAAAAGAAGTCATTTTGTATGAAACATTAACTTCAAAGTGTTAACCATAAACTCTTTGTGTTTTGCTGGAAGGATAATTCATGATAATTTGCGTACATACAACCGTGGTTTTATCCAAACTTCCTTCGAAGTGTTTTTTTAAAGCAAATGTTGCTGCTGAACACACCATGTTGAGCCTCTTCACTCATCTTTTCACTTACATTTACAACTCAGTGTTGACTGGAGTATCTGACCAGGGAATACGCTGCTTCGAGAGAGAGGCTTTTCCATCAAGATAGTTAATGAGATTAATACTAACATTTTAGATAACTTTTCCCCAGTTTTCAGATTTAGATCAACAGGCTTCAAAACAGCTGAGTTATGACTTTATATTGTTCTTACCAGATCCTGCTTAGCTCGTATCAATCAGCTGAAGGATTGCTGGTGGCTTGGTTGCATTTGTCTTTCGTCCATTGCTGGTTGTAAACACAAATTATGCACGAAGAAGATAAAGAAAAATCACAGCCTGTCAGGTTAAGAAAAATACAAAGGATTTTTTATTTTTTTTAACCAGCTCACTGTTTCAAAGCAGCTGGAGTGAGTGAAAGGGAAAGGATGAGGGAGAGCGAGAACACGAAGAGGAAATGTTCGGATTTTTGCACCACTATTATATCAGTACAACCCCTCAGGCAAAACATCTGAACCAGAGTGACAGACGAACTGTTGTTTGCTTCATACCGCAGAAATGTTTTACCAGCCCTTGCGCCCATGTCAATCAATGGTCAGCATGTTCCAAAACATATTCAACACACAAAGAGAACAGTTTGGCTTCAGGAAATGGCTCCCGCCTGAGACTGACAGGGGACTCTCTGGATGTGTCATTCAAAAAAAAAAAAAAATAAAGTAAAAAAATAAAGGTCCTTTGTTTTACTCCTGCCACAAAGAGCCTTTCTCTTTATGTAATTTAGAACCATGCATTTTGTCATCTTTTGGCACCATAAGCGATAAAACACAAAACACAGGCGATGTTTTTTTTCAAAAGCCTGTGGTAAAAAGGAATTCACACCAGCCATTTCTCCGCAAAGCACTAAT